GAGGTGGAATCTGAATAAAGGGGGGCAGATAAGTCACTCTTAAAAAGAATCTTAAATGTCACACACACCAATCCTGACTTACTATTTGGCCTAAATATACTTAGTATTTGCTTCCTATGTGACTTTTCAAACATTTTCAAAGTAAAAGAATAGTGTGACCTCCTCTCCCTGACGCCACTACCATACATCCCTTACCCTGTTTCATTGATTAACCTCTCCTGGCCAATCGTTTCATCTCCGCTCCCTGACTCCCTCCCCACTACGAGATTATTTTGAAGCGATTCCAAAAATATCCTCTACCACAGACTCTTCCTTCTCTACCCCAGTTCCACTTCTTTAATCCCAGTCTCAGCAAAGCTTGCTGTTTTGTGGAGAAGAGACGAAAAGACCCAAGGGGGTGTAACACCCAAGAGAAGGCCATGAGAGGCACAGTGTGTGTGGCTATAGGATCAGGAAGGGTCTTATGGAACAGGTAGAATCCCACAGACCGATGCTCCACCACTGAGCCAAACCGGTTTCGGCCCCACACCCTTTTGTTTTGTTCTGCCTTCTTCTCACTCCCTGGTGAGGAATTCTTTGTTCCTGGGCAAGGAACAGCGTGTCTGCTGGTGCTTCTCTCCATGGCCCTTCACAGAACTAACCTGCGATCCCCTGGCAGGTTTGCTCCTTTCTCCAGAGAGCGAAGAAGTGCTGGATTGAACATCAGCTTGTCCCTTATGCCTACACGGGGGAGGAGTGGGTCGGCTATGATGACGCCAACAGCTTCAGGCACAAGGTGAGGCCTTGGTTCTTTCTCGACCCAGCATATAGTTTCCATCTGGCTGCCCCAAGGCCCTGGTCTGTGCTGTGTGTGTGTGTCTGTGTGTCTGTGTGTGAGTGTGTGTGTGTGCGCACATCTGCATGCACTGGATGAAGAATGAAAATGCCAGGGTAATGACGTTGGGTGAGTTTTAGGCATACCTGAACTAAATGGGGTTTCCTAATTCCATATAACCTAACTCTCTTCTTTTGAGAGAAGAAATCTCAGTTTCTCAAGATCCCATAGCTAAAAAATGGTAGATTCAAACACAGGCTATACGCCTCCCGGGAGTCCATCTTCTGCTTTTCCACCATCGTGCTCCATCTGGAGGCGGCCACTGTAGCAGGTTGACTGACTACTCCTTTGCAGGCATCGTTCCTAAAGAAAGAGCACTACGGGGGGGCCATGGTATGGACATTGGACCTGGACGACGTCGGGGGCACTTTCTGTGGCACCGGCCCTTTCCCCCTGGTCTCTGTGTTAAAGAACCTCCTGTTACAGGCTGGTGAGTAGCATGACCTGGAAGCTGGGGTCGGAGGTTGTATATGCAGGCCCTGGGTGGGTCCCTCCTGTTAGATCTAAAGGCTCTGGTGAGGCAACATGACGTTGAGAAAGGAGAATGAGCTTTGGTTATTCTCAGGCCAATCTGTTTTCTAATCTTGGTTTGGATGTGTGTTCCACTGGACCGCTCCGAGCTTGGTTTCTGTATCTGGTAGATGGGAATCATCCTTATGCTCCTGGCATTATTATAAGAACCGGATGAGATAGGGAATGAAATCTGTGCTGGCTCATAATTAGCACTCAGTATCTGTTAGTTTATGTCTCTATTTGTTTTTATCTCCTGCTTTCATGGCCAAGGGCCAGAAGGAAATTAGATTTCTTTGGCTGTCTCTTTGATAGGAGAGCCTTCCCTGGCAGTTAGGAGATGGCCTGGGATTGATGGTTGCTAGGGCTGATGGTTGATAGTCCTCATTTTATGGATAAGGAGCTTAGGGCTCAAAAAGGTACCACAGCTATACAGTGGTGCAGATGAGACTCCGACCTGATTCTTTATGATATACTGTCCAGAGCAACTTTCTTTTTTTCTGTTTTTTAAAATAGTTTTTTTTTGTTTTGTTTTGTTTTTTGTTTTTTAGAGAGAGTAAGGGAGAGGGATAGAGAGATGGAAACATCGGTGAGAGAGAAACATCATCCATCGGCTGCCTCCTGCATGCCCCCTACTGGGGATGGAGCCCACAATCCAGGCATGTGCCCTGACCAGGAATTGAATAAGTGACCTCTTGGTTTATGGGTTGATGCTCAACTACTGAGCCACACTGGCCAGGCCAGAGCAGCTTTCTTGACCTCAGTGCTGCTCCTGGTGCCTCCTACATTGGGGGACAGAGGAGGTTTATCCTTGAGGACTCAACAGTAAAGAACTAGGCCATGGGGGACAAGGTCTTGCTGAAGGTGCTACCAGAGAGGTCAGAGTGAAGGCTCAAGGACAGAGAATTGGCAGGCTACTTCTTGGGGTAATTCACCAGGAATCTAACAAATACCCTGAGGGCCCATGGGCACCTGGGATCATGTTAACATGATGGGGTAGGGGAGCAGAGCTTCCATGTGGTGGGATTTTATCTGTGTCCTCAAGTACATGCATTGTGAGATCCTCCAAGTTTGGATTTGGGGAGCAGGTACTTCTGCCCTGGAGTGGTGCTAGCCCTGCTAGTAGTTATGGGGTGGGAAGGAAGGGGTAGGACTCTCATCTTTTTCTGATGATTTTCTGTAGAGTCCAGTTCAACTTTTTCACCAAAAATTTGGCCTTCGTCTGCTATGAGTTCTTCAAGCACTGGCCCTGGAAGGCTGACTGTGACCGAGGCACTGCCCACTGTTCTGGGGATTTCGCTCTCAGGAGGAGAGGGTGTGGCCACTGAGACCCAGAGAAACACTGAAAATATGACTACAACCCCCAGAGGTGGGATCGTGACCCCTACAAGGGAAACTGCATCCTTTGTGAAGCACACTGTAGTGCTACAAGGGAAGACTGAGACCCCTGGGGAAAAGACCAGGACCCCTATGACCCCCGAACAGATGCCTGTAACCCCTGGGCACCTTCAGACTGAGACTCCTGGAGTGAAGATTAAGGCCAGTGGAAGGAGGGCTGCAGCACCTGCAAAGATGATTATCCCTTTGGGAAAGATGACAGTCACCCCCGAGGGGAAGACCAAGACTCTAAGAGAAGAGCACTGGACATCGGAGGTGGACACAGACCCCTGATAGGTTACTTTGCTCTTTAGATGGAAGCTGGAACAGGATGCTACCCTCTGACCTGTCATCCAGCTCCCAGGACACCCTTTTTGCTTGGTGACCCCATTTGTTCCCGTTGATGGAAACCATTCTGTCAACTCGATGATCCTTTCAACCAGTCCTCTCTCTCTAAAGACAGGAAACTCTGCTGTGGATCAAGGAGCCTGTGCTCTGTTGGTGACAAGACACTGGGGAAAGCCCTTGTCTTTCCTTCCAGGTCACCTGGCAGAAGCCTCCTGTGCTTGACCATTCATAGACCATTCATGTGGCCAAGCAGGCCCCCAAACCACAGTGAGCTAATCTCTTCACTGTTGAATAAACTAGAAGCAAAAAATCCATCCGAGTTCTTTGATGTGACTCCCTCCCTCTCTCCCTTTTTTCCTTTCTCCTTCCACACAAAAAGACTGGAATATCTTATGATTCCATAAAGTAAGGAAGTACTCAAAAATCAATGAGGCCATGTCAGAGAGACTCAAAGGCCACCCTGAAAGAGTTCTAAATGGCCAAAATTGGGACAATTTGCACAACAAAATAATAATAATTTTAACCCATAGAATAAAGTTGAGTTCATACACTATTGATGAATAACTAAATTAAAAATGGTTAAGAAGGGACCGCTGCTCCATCCTTAAAATAGAATGTCAATAAGTGTTGAAAAAAGATTCTAGGGTGTGACAAGAGACAGGCACAGATAGGTGGGAGTCTTAGGAACCACTGGCAAGGTGATGATTTGACAGATTGACATGGGTGGGAGGGGGCAGGGCGCAGGCTCAGCGGGCATGACTAATGAACAGGTACAGTTGTCTACACCCAGGAAAGTGAGCTGAGGAGAAAATGTTATGAACTTTCATTACTTTCTAATTTGAATTTTCAAAAAAAAAAAACAAACACGATTTTTTAAAAGTCAGAAATACTGCCAACAGGTGGCAGCACTGTATAGAGTTACATTTTTTTTACGTGGACCAGAAGAAAACTTGATCATTGTAGGCAAATGAATGGAAAAAAATTTTCCCCCCCATAAAATAAAATAAAATATATTTTCCCTCATAAAATGAAATACCTTTCTACAAAAAAGGGAAAGCAAGTATAAATCTCTTTGTTGTTGCTATCTTTAAAATTGATAATTTCATGCACATTGAAGCTGAGAGCCTCCATACACTAGGCTCAGAGGAGGCTGTGGTTAGGTAGAGGTTGAATTCAGACACACCAAGACTTAGTCCCACCTCTACCATTTATTGACCATATGATCATGGGAATGGGGGTCATTTGATTATATGTAGGTCATTTTAGCAGGAATGCAGACATTTGCACACCAGGGCCATTTCTTAATTGTCTTTGCACTTCCAGAGCTCACTACGGAGGTGAGCATAGAGTGGGCATTCAATACATGTTGGCTAATTTGTGAACTGAGATGTTGAAAATAAGGAGTGAGAATGATGTATGGAAAGCTATAGACGGGACTGATCAGAGGAAAAGGGAGGAGAAAGAGAGTAGAGCGTGGACTGTAAATCTCAAAAGAGCGCATGCCCTTTGAAGCTAGAGAGCAAACTGTTCCGTTGTTCTGGCAGAAGTCGCCAGCACCCACTTCCCAGTAGACAGGGGCACTGGATCCTTTGTCTCCAGTAAACTTTGCATTTGTTATCACACCCTAATCTTTAGATTCCATCAGCAAAGCCACTAATGGCTCTTTAAACAGACCACAGAGGAGATAAAGTCCTTCATACTTGCCAAAGGGAAAAACAAACAGAATCCCTGAAAGCGCAGGGGAACTGCTGTTACAAAGGCAGAAACTTTCAGGTGCTGGAGATGAAAAGGGCAGGGAGATCAGGGTATAAGAGAGGGACCCAACCACCCGCTGTGCGTTCCAACACTTGGGTCTGTCACTGTGTCCTGTGTGTTGGTGAACATCAGCACCATGAAGATCCTGGTCTTGGTCTTGGTTTGCCTACACCTCTCAGAGGGTGTGGAAAGGTGTGTATGGGGATGCGGCCTCATTGTGGATTCCAGCTCTAAGGGAGCGTGACAAGCTAGGGAAGAACAAAGGGTTGCAGGACCCTAGGAGAGGCAGGCAGATGGTGCCACGAATTGAACACCCATTTGGGGCCAAGACTTGAAATGGATGGATGGATGGACGGATGGATGGATGGATGGATGGACGAACGGACAGGGTGTGTGTGTGTGTGTGTGTGTGTGTGTGTGTGTGTACACATATTTATGTATGAGTGGGTTGAGTGTTTTGTTGGCTTAGAAGAATGGACAATTCCTGTCCCAGGTTTACAGCAGGCACTGGGAAGAAACAGTTTTTCTTTGGAAATAAGATATAAGCACAAAATCCCACAAATATTATGAAGTGAGTTTCTGTGCTGGGAATCCAGGAGTGATTGTCGTGGTTAGAACTTGCTAAAATCCAGGAGGATTTCCTGTACCTCGCTCTTCTTGAGCAGAGAGTCCTGAAGAGATTTGAAAACTCCTGGTCAGATTATTGAAGAGGTTGCTTTAAGAGGGCAAGGTGAAGCTCATTCATTTTTTTTTTTTAAACCCTATTCTTTGCAGAATCATTCTTAAAAAAGGCAAGTCTATCCGCCAGACAATGGAGGAGAAGGGAGTCCTGGAGAAGTTCCTAAAGAACCACCGAAAGGAGGACCCGGCTGCCAAGTATCATTTCAACAACGATGCTGTTGCTTATGAGCCCATCACTAACTACTTGGATGTGAGTGAAGGTGGAGGGGTGTCCATCCTCTTGGCTGATAACCATTTAAAAGTACTCACTTATACCCCCCATTAGCTCTGATTTGGACTAATTACTAAACCCAAGTCTCACTTTCCTATGGAAAGTATCAAAATAAGTTATGAGTTGGTAGTTTTGGTAGTACCCAATAGGATATTAGCTCCCTTTCCTTTCCCCTTTTCTCTCATTACTTCATTACTGGCTCATCTCTCCAAAGCCCCATTTATATGGTAAAGAGACTATAGGGGTAATGTTCAACTCAATGGAGAGATCCCAGGGATGTTCAACGAGCTGCAGGAAAGAGAAGGAAAACACGTGCTTATCTAGTTTGGCTCAGTGGATAGAGCATCAGCCTGCGGACTGAAGGGTCCCAGGTTGATTCCAGTCAGGGCACATGCCCAGGTTCTGGGCTTGATCTCTAGTAGGAGGTGTGCAGAAGACAGCTGATCAATGATTCTCTCTCATCATTGATGTTTCTATCTCTCCCTTCCTCTCTGAAGTCAATAAAAAAAAATTTTTTTTTTTTAAAAAAGAAGGAAAACATGTGCAAGGCCACTAGGGAAAATCGCTCCCTTTGGAAAGATACACTGGTGTCTAGAGAAAGTATTAGAATGTTCTTGAGGCTACGATGTCTGCTCAGGGCATCTTGACTTACTGGTGTCCCGTGGATGGTTCTTAGTAAGATGTTACACAGAGCACCGGAGCTGGAAGCCACTTTAAGGAATCCCACATGGGGTGGGAAAATCATGGGAGAAGCCTCTTATTCCCTGAGGGAATGATTTGGGCAAAATGGGACTCCCAGTGGGTCAGCTTCTTCCCCACCCCTCGGACAAGGCTAAGCTGCGGAATGAGGGTGACAACCTTTCTTTGCAGGCTTTCTATTTTGGGGAGATAAGTGTGGGGACACCACCCCAAAACTTCCTCGTCCTCTTTGACACGGGCTCTTCCAATCTGTGGGTTCCCTCCACCTATTGCCAGAGCCAGGCCTGCTGTGAGTATACCACCATGCCACCCCAGCCATGGTTGGGAGCTGAGTGAGGGGCGGAGTTAGGATTGGCCCAGGTTATGATGTCAAGTGCAGAGTTCTTGGTGCATGAATCTCCTCCTTCTTAACTTAGAAACCTCTAGAAATCTTGCCCTCAGTCTTGCCAACAGTTTTGGAGAGAGGCACAGACCTAGACTAAAACTTCCCCATCTTTCTACATTGTCCCTTTCCCTCCTCTCTCTCCAGTGGGCCAGAATCCCTGACATTTTTTAGGGATCCATCCCTCAGGGAATGATGGATTGAAAGGAATTCAGGCAATGTTTGCTGCCTAAGGGGGCAGACTTTTTTTGGGTGAACACAGTTTGTCTATAGTGTGAAGGATCCGAGGCTGAGCCCCATCCCAGATGTGGTCTGATGACCCAGGACATTATTTCTTTGGAAATAAGATATAAGCATTCTGGAAAGCGGTGCGTGATGCTAATATTTCATTCTGTCTTCCCACAGCCAACCACAACAGGTTCAACCCCAGCCTGTCCTCCACCTTCAGAAACAACGGGCAAACCTACACCCTGTCCTACGGGAGCGGCAGCCTGAGTGTGGTCCTGGGCTATGACACCGTGACCGTGAGTGACGTTCTCACAGCCTCTGAGGTTCTGTGCGTTGGCTCCCATTTCTAAAGCCTTGAGCTCCCAGGGAAATCCACGATTACAAGTTAGGTCAAACCTTCCCAGGAGCTGAGGGTTGGAAAAGGCATCCGAGGCCGCCCCATTCCGCCTTCCTCCCGAGACAGGCGTGGCCTCCTCATCAGTCCGGGCTGCAGAAAGCCCTCGGTGCTGTGTTGAAGCCGTGTGTCTTCTTGTGACTTTGTTCCCGGCTCTTCACCCCTACCATCTGCCACCACACAGGGCGTCTGCCTCCTCCTCCACCCAGCTTCACCCTGGTTATTTGAAGATCCGTCCTTTCACGGTTTTCTTGTGTTTTTACGCCTAACACCCATGGTTTCTCTGCTGTGTTTGCACGTGGGCTGCGCAATCGAAAACCAGACGCTGCCCACGGAAATGGAAGCTAGAACTCCAGAAAACAGCCGCCTCTGCCTCCTCAGCACCCACACTCCTTTTCCTAAGACATACGTGGTTGGGTGGCGCTGTTGCCCTGTCACCTTCCGCACCCACGCCCAGGAGTGAGCTCAGCACGAAAGAGGCCAGCTTCTCTTCCCAGAACAGGGTCTAGGTTCCAGGCCCTGGGCACCTCCATCCGGGAAGGCTCTGTCCCCGTGGAGTTGTTCAGCTGCTCTGTCTGCTTGGCCCAGGTTCAGAACATCGTCGTCCAGAACCAAGAGTTCGGCCTGAGCGAGAACGAGCCCAACAACCCCTTCTATTACTCAGACTTTGATGGCATCCTGGGGATGGCCTACCCCAACATGGCGGTGGGCAGTGCCCCCACCGTCATGCAGGGGATGCTGCAGCAGGGCCAGCTCAGCCTGCCCATCTTCAGCTTCTACTTCTCGCGGTAAGAGGCCTGGCCCCGGGAAGAGGTCAGCAAATGAGCTCCCTGGGGGCCTGGGACAACTCAGCATCAGGCAGGGTTCAGGTTGCAGAGTTTTCTGGCTCAGGGACTACAATTTGCTGTGCATTTCTGAAATTTTATAAACACATTTTTTTTGGGGGGGGGGATTTTGTTTTAAACACACTGGAAGAATTTTGAATTGTGGCCATAAACTATACAATGACTCTTTTATTTTTTTTCCTTTCTTTTTAAAAAATATATTTTATTGATTTTTTACAGAGGAAGGGAGAGAGATAGTTAGAAACATCGATGAGACAGAGTCATCAATCAGCTGCCTCTTGCATACCCTCCTCTGAGGATATGCCTGCAACCAAGGTACATGCCCTTGACCAGAATCGAATCCGGGACCCTTCAGTCCGCAGGCCGACGCTCTATCCACTGAGCCAAATCGGTTTCGGCTACAATGACTCTTTTCTTAAAAAATAAGCAGTCCCTCAATATTTATCCAGTAAATCTGGAGATTGCTGTGAGCAGTCAGTATAATTGTGGAGCTATAGCACAAGCGCCATTGACCAGTGAACAATAATGAGATGATAATTATAACGGGATCTCTGGCTTTGTGAAGGGTTCTTGTAGCAACAACTTCTGACGACATCTTACAAATCCTGTTGTTGGCCTCATTTGTCCAGAGAGGAAGTAGCAGCACAAACAAGTTGTGAATGTTAAGAAATCCACCCCCCACCCCCCAATGTGGGTGTAAATCTTGATGTGAAAGCCAGTGCTTTTCCTTCTCTGTCTGGCCTTGAACTTTGTGACACACTTCACTCCCTGCTTTTTTTCCCTACACACATGATCCTCAGGGAACCTGAAGTCCAAATGCCTTTAGTCTATGACTGGCAGGTGCAGGGTCGTGAACACAACAGATCCCAATCCTCTCAGCATTACCTGGTGACCCCCCTGGCCACGACAGAAGCACCCCCATCCCGGAAGCCGTAGCATCTCTGTCAGCCATCCCAGGTGCTCTCAGAGGGGGCTTTGCCCCAGGCAGGATACTTTTATAGCTTTTTTCCAGGCGCCTGATGTCCAAGTCCATCTTCTTTATGGACATAGTCTGTGTTTCCAATTCTCTGATAATTCTTTCTGAGAATAGCTGCGTGTCTCTCTGAGAATTCCCCTTTCCCTGGCACCTTGAGCCGGGAGAAGTCTGAAGAATACCCCCTCATTCTGGGAGGGAAGGGGAGAGGGGAGAAGGGAGGAGGGAGAGGAGCGCCTGACCCATCTGGGTTACGGAAACTCATTCTTGCTACATTTCTTTTCAGCCAACCAACCCGTCAGTACGGCGGAGAGCTCATCCTGGGCGGTGTGGACAACCAGCTGTATTCTGGTCAGATCGTCTGGGCCCCGGTCACCCAGGAAATGTACTGGCAGATCGCCATTCAGGAGTAAGTAGAGGTGCAGATAGTTCCCGTGGATGAGGGACACTCGTGGGGTGCTTCTCTAGCATGACAGCATTTCCTGTTGCTGGCATGGCATGGCGTGGCATGGCTTTCTCCAGGAATCACCAAACCCTCAGGCTGAGCTAGACTCTGGCATCCAGTTCCTGCCTTCCAAGAGCTTTCAGCCAGAGCTGGAGGGCTTGCCAGACCAAGACTGAGGGCAACACTCCTGCGACCAGAAAGGCACAGAAGCACACGTGGGCAGGGTGTCAGGGGGTGGCTGCTTCCTGGAAGAGCCAGGATGCCGGAGCTGTGTGGTTGGTGGGTGAGGGGTGGCCATGTTGGTGGCAGACACTCCTGACTCTCTCGGTCCTGGTGTCCCCCTCAGGTTTGCCATCGGTAACCAGGCCACGGGCTGGTGCTCTGAGGGCTGCCAGGCCATCGTGGACACAGGCACCTTCCTGCTGGCCGTTCCCCAGCAGTACATGGGCTCCTTCCTGCAAGCGACAGGAGCCCAGCAGGCGCAGAATGGAGATGTGAGTAACCGGAAGCCATGGAGTCTCTGTGTCACAGCCAGGCAGGCTCAACATGGGAGCCTGCGCTCAGGCAATGAGGCCATCAGAGGGAGGGGGAAGGGCTGGGTGGGTCCCTGAGCCCCTGGCGGGACAGATTAGGTGGGAACACAGCATGAACTCTCAATGCAAAGAAGGGTAAGGGGTGAGTAATATCGACTCCATCCAGACTGTGGGTGTGGGACCCATGGCTATCGGGAAGTGCTGTTAACCCATCGCAGGTCTTAGGAGCACACAGCTTGGCCTGGCCACTGTCATTGGGCACAATGTCATTGGGCACAATGCACTTTCCCGTTCCACTTGGGTTTCTCTCTTCACTAGGAATACATCTTTGGAGTTTACTCCCAGAAGCCTCCTGTCCCCACCCCTCCTCCTCTTTGCACACATATCAGTAGTTTGCTTCTCCCTGTATGCGAGAGACTGGGCCCAGACTAAATCCTGGCTGCCCAGGCTGTGTGTGTGTGTGTGTGTGTGTGTGTGTGTGTGTGTGTGTGTGATCCCACACCTTTTCTCTGTAACTTGTACTTTCTGGATTTAGAAATGGTGGTGGAATGAGCCTAACTCGTATAGTCCTATGGATACAACCCAAGTCTAAGAGCTGAGATGCCTGAAAGGAGAGGATTCCAGAAGAAAGACGAGGGTCAGGCCCTGTGGTTCTCGCTCTGAGAGAGCCTGTGCTGCACGGTCAAGCACAGTCACACAGGAAAAGGGGCCCCCTCTTCGTCTGGGCTCCAGGGGGCGCTCTCCAGCTTTGCCTTTTCTGTCTCCCAGTTCGTGGTCGCCTGCGACTCCGTGCAGAGTTTGCCCACCATCACCTTCATCATCAGCGGGTCCCAGTTCCCTCTGCCTCCCTCCGCCTATGTCCTCAACGTATGTCGTCACTCCCAGCATCTGTGGTTGGCTGGCTGGCTGGGGCCTACAGCTGTCCCGTGTCCCAGCTCACATCTGGGCAGCTATGGGGAGTCCCCGGGGCGGGGCTGGGGGTGAACAAGAATTCAGGGACCCCAAAGGGTGCTGTGGAATGCAGAGAGGGGAGAGTCCGGGTGGGGGAGGTCTGTCTGTACAGGGCAAACGGTCATATCCCGGTGTCCCTTGTCCCCTCAGAACAACGGCTACTGCAGGCTGGGCATCGAGGCCACGTACCTGCCCTCCCCCAACGGGCAGCCGCTGTGGATCCTGGGGGACGTCTTCCTCAAGGAATACTACTCGGTCTACGACATGGCCAGCAACAGGGTGGGCTTCGCCGCGGCCGCCTAGACGGTGAGGGGCCGCCGTCCACACCCCGCACGCAGGGCCGGCGTGGCTGTTGGCCCACCGCCCCGTTTCAAACTGCCCCGACCCCTTCTGTTCACTGCAGTCTTACCTCCCACAATGAATACATGGAATAAATCGGTAGACTCCGAACATCTTTGACGTTCCTGCCAAAATGTCCTTTGTGTGAGTGTTCCGCTTCCAGGCGTTTATTCTAAATAAAACTCAGCAGCGGCTGTGTCCGGGGGTCCGTTCACTGAGCCATGGGGGAGCACCCAGGGGTGTGTATGGGGGAGCAGGCCTGAGCAGCTGGCTTCAGCCCAGACAGGAGGACGCAGTGGGATCTGCGGGAGGCTTCTGCCTGAGGTCACCCCCACTCCCAGCCCTCCACGCCAACGCTTCCCTCTCTCCCTTCTGGAAAAGATCACGAACCAGACCAGTCCCCAACTTAGGAAAGTTAGAAAGAAGCCTTTGTATTCCACATAGGTGCCGTGAAGGCCCAAATACAGTAAGAACCGGCCTTGATGCGCTCACGTGGTCCGCAGGGGCCCCCGCCCCTCCCTGGGCCCCATGCTGGCCCAGGAGAGGACCACACGGGGCCAGGCCGAGGGAGAGGAGCAGCTCCGTCCTCCATCCGGGAGAGGCTGTGCTCAGGAGGAGCACGCGAAGGAAGGCCCGGCTTCGGAACCATAAAACAGGCTCAAGTAGGCCATGCGGTTCCGATATCTTCTGAAGTCCTTGTCGCTGGGCAACTGCAAGGAGAGACGGCGGTCTCAGACCCACGCGGGGGAGGGCCCTTGGGCACGGGTCCTCCTAGCTGCTCATTGCGGCCGCTATGACCCAGCCAACCCCCTCCCCAAAGTCATCTAGCCTCGGTGAGTCTACCATTTTTTAAAAAAAATAATATTTATTTATTTACTTATTATGTATTTATTTATAAGGGAGTGGAAGGGAGAGGGAGAGACAGAAAGCAACATCAATTTAAGAGTGGAACATTGATCGAGCTTGCAACCCAGGCATGTGCCCCGATCAGGAATCGCATCAATAACCTTTCCGTGCAAGGGACGAGGCCCACCCCACTGAGCCACCCCAGCCAGGGCTGATTCTCTCAGCTTTTGTATGTGCAGTGACTCTGTCAGTTACCTATCATGTGAAGTATTACTATTACTGTTATTTTTAATTTGGTAAATCTCTAAGAGTTCACCGGTAAACTTCTTGAAAACAAAGATTCTATGTTCAAGTCTTGAATGTTACCTTGAGGCCCTAGCACAATTATACTAACACATCAGGCAATTAATAAGTATTTGTGAAATGAATCCAAAATTCCACTAGGAAATGAAAGGCACCTTTGGGATTATGATAGCTAACATGTATTGAGCATTTGTTATGTTATAGAAACTGTGTTCAATGCTTTTCTACCTTAATGTAATCTTTACAACCTTATCAGATCGATTATTATACTCATTTTAAAGATAAAGAAAAGTGAGGCTTAGAAAAAGTAGGGGACTTGTCCAAGATCATACACCAAGTAAGTACTGGAGCTAGGATTTGAACCCAGGCAGTTGTCCCCAGAATCCATGCTCTTACCAGAAAGCTCTACAACCCCCTGATGATCTAATATTTAAGTGACATGATGGAAAGAGCAGGGTTTTTTTTCTCCCCATCATCCTCTGGATCTAGATCTAGATTCATGTGTAGCCTGCACAAGTCACTTAATCTGTCTGAGTCTCAATTTCCTCCTCTATCACATACAGACTGGAGGCCGGGTGCACAAAATTCATGCACTTGCGAGGAGGTCCTTCAGCCCAGCCTGCGCCCTATCGCAGTCTAGGAGACCTAAGGGATGTCTGACTGACTGCTGAGGCCTGTTCCCCAGGGGACTAACATCAGTTAAACATCCTTAGTGGTGCTGTGGAGGCAGGAGAGGCTTTCGCCACTGTAGCCGTGCTTGCCCGCTGGGAGCCTGGCTCAGGGCTTCTGGCTGAGGGGCACTATTGGTAGTTCCACTGTTCAGTCCATTTGTAGATTAGCCTTTTATTATATAGGACTAGAGGCCTGCTGCATGAAAATTCATTCAAGAGTAGGCCTTTCTTCTCCTGGCTGCCAGCACTGGCTTCCCTCCAGCACCTGGAACCCAGGCTGGCTTCCTCCCGGCCCTGGCGTCATCAGGAAGTACATTCGGAATGATGTCCAGTCTAATTAGCATATTACCCTTTTATTATTATAGATAGATAATTCTCCTGTACCTACCACAGACCATTTGAGGATTAAATAAGATTCCCTGGAACTTTTGTGTAGTCATGCACAACTTAAAAAAAAAAAAAATCTAATAAAATTGCCCTAGCTAGTTCGGCTCAATGAATAGAGCATTAGCCTGTAGCTGAAGGGTCCTAGTTTCAATTCTGGTCAAGGACACAAGCCTAGATTTTGGGCTTGAACCCCAGTAGGGGGCACGCAGGAGGTAACCAATCAATGATTCTCTCTCAGCATTGATATTTCTCTCTCCCTTCTCTGAAATCAATAAAAATGTTTTTTTTTAAATCTAATGAAATTGTACACTTTCCCCCAAATCCCTATATGCATATACACATAAAATTGTGCATATAATTTCAGGGGAACAGGACTTTCCAAAGCTCCTTCACAGACTCCCTGTTAGGAGCCCCATGGAAGAACTAGGTAGTATTCTATAGAAGCCAGTGTTGTTACCTCAGCTTTTATGGTCCTCTTCCGCAGACGTGGAATCTGATCCCAGTCTGGAGATCCAAATTTCATTGGCCAGGTGACTTTTGGGGGTGGTTTTATCACTGGGTTGTACATGTCAGGGCTAGAAGTAAAAACATGCGACATGATGTCTATGACTTAGTGACTATTGGTGAATCCTATCAGCTGACCCTGAACTAGGTCTAACTCCTTGATAACAGATAGCAGACTGATCCGGTTTTTAATGTTGGGCAAGCACCTTCAGCGGGTAAAGTCTTTCTAATTAGGTGTCACCTTTCCAGAAAGACCTCTCTCCACAACCCTTGATAAAGTAGCCTCCAGTCCATTCATCACTCAACATTATATCATCGTCCTCTAGCACATGGCCAGGCCACCGTTCTGCCTGGCTTGGCTTATGGCAGTCTTAGCTTATGGCTACTGTCTTGGTATAGTTATTAATAAGGTCTCCTCTAACTCTCGAATGTATCACAGTCAGACTAAAACATCATATGGCCACTCTCCTTCTTACTGCTGTTATTTTCTTACTTGCTCCTTGCCTGTCTGGATTCTAGAATGTAAGCTCCAAGGAATCAGGAGCCTCGTGTGATGGTTCAATGCAACATCTATGGAACCAAACAGAACTGCCTGGCACCCTTATGAATATTTATTAAACAAATCACTATAGCCGAAGCCGGTTTAGCTCAGTGATAGAGCGTCGGTCTGGGGATTGAAAGGTCCCAGGTTTGATTCGGTCAAGGGCATGTACCTTGGTTACGGGCACATCCCCGGTAGGGGGTGTGCAAGAGGCAGCTGGTCGATGTTTCTCTCTCATTGACATTTCTAGCTCTCTATCTCTCTCCCTTCCTGTCTATAAAAAAAGCAATAAAACATATTTTTAAAAAATCACTATGGTTTACACTTCTATGATGCCAGAGATCTGGAAGGCAAAAGAGGCTGAATCTTAAAGATGAGTGGTTATGCACCTGTCCTTCCTTTCCTATCACTTTCTGTTGAAGTGCCCCCAGAAAAGAGGACACGTACCCAGGATAACTCACGTCCTTTGAGCGTTTCACAAATCGAGGCAACATGACATTAAATGGAGCAAAACTTTGTTTTTGTTTTCCCTCCTGAAGATCTATTGACTGGTATGTGGCTGGGTGAGGTGTCAGATCCTGTTTCCAAGAAAGAGATCGATATGTTAGAAGGTGACACACAGGTATATATGTGAAGCCTTATAAGTAAAACACACACACACAAACACACACACACACACACACACACACACACACAACATACACACACCCCGAACACATCCTCTTCTGGTTTATGTATCAGCTATGGTTTAACCATCTCAAAACATGGAAACAGGCCTATGATAGGTAGAAAACTAAGATAGGTGTAGTCCAACTACCTAAAAATGCATCCTGCTTAGGTTGTAGAAATCAGTCTCCTCCTGCACGCCCCCCACTGGGGATTGAGTCTGCAGCCTGCATCCCGGACATGTGCCCTGACTAGGGATCGAACCATGACCTCCCAGTTCATAGGTTGATGCTCAACAACTGAGCCACGCTGGCTGGGCTTGTTTTCTTTTCAATCTTTATCAGAGAATATGTTTATTGAATTAAGAGCAAGGAAGGGGGAGAGAGGGAGAGAACCCAGGTATGTGATTGGGAACCCGGCAACCTTTTGGTGCACTGGATGATTCTCCAACCCACTGAGCCACACCAGTCAGGGTGGAATTTTTAAAAAATATGTTTTTATTTATTTCAGAGAAGAAGAGAGAGGGAGAGAAAGAGAGAAAAATCAATGATGAGAGAGAATCTTTGATCGGCTGCCTCCTGCATGCTCTCTACTGGGGACTTAGCCCAACACCTGGGCAAGTGCCCTGACTCAGAATCGATCAACCACTGAGCCACAACAGAATGGGCTGGGTTTTTTTTTGTTTGTTTGTTTGTTTCAATTGACAAGGTAATTTGATGCATATAAAGCTTCCAGTACTTTAGCATCAGGTGTCTCAGTCAGCACTGAAACTCTAATTTGGTACCACTTCTCCTGCTCATTGTTTCTCACTCTCCCAGACACACACACACACACATACACATACACACACACACACACACACACACACACACGCACGCACACACTCTCAATGCATTAGCCCAAGCTTTTCAGCTAGGCTTAAATGGCTTTTGCCTAAATGTCTACATTTCTTTAATTTCAGAGCATATTGTTTAGGCAACCTCCCATGCACTAACCTGGGCTCCCCAATCCAAATACATGGATCACACAGACATTGAAGCACCTGCAACCGTGTCTCACCTTATTCAGCTTAAATCTCATGGTTGTTCTGGCTCCCAACGCGTATCCTTTCTTACTGGTCGGGGTTTTGGAGAGGTTGTACGCCCAGTCATACCTCTTTGGGTAGAATATATATAGATATATTTTAAAACAAACAAAGAAAGAAAAACACGAAGAACATTATCGTCATCAAAACAGCATGAACTTAGAACGAATCTTCTCTGCAAGCGTTCCTCTCTCTTGACTTCTTGGCTTCTGTGACTCAAGCCCATAGAAACAGGGGCATAAGGAACAGGTCACGTGGCAGGGGAATGCGCCCGGGTCAGGCAGAGCGGGTGACATTTCTGCCTTCCCGTGAATCCAGTCCTCTGACCACCAGCTGGATGTGCTCTCATGCAAGCGTGTCTGATCCTCTATCACTTCACGAACTCTCCTGCCAACACAGGCACAACCCAGGTTCGGACTAACGGGTGGGTCACTGGCATTGGCCACAAGCCTCTGGGGGTGGGAATGGCGTGGGGACTATCCTGCTAACGACATGAAGCCGAGGCTTGTGTTGGATGGAGGCTGGGAAGGGGGAGGGGTGGCCCTGTCACCTCTGACATTGACCCTGACAGCTGGCTGCAGAGCACAAGGGCACTTTCTCCTGTTGGGGACCCTGAAGGTCACACACACTGTAGTTTTTTTTTTTCTTCCACTAAACTTGGCAATCTTTAAATAGAGGGGGAACGGAGACACCCCTGGGGGAAAGGTGGATACTCACAGTGTCTGTTGTGTAGCACCCAGGCCCTCTGTGGGGCGCTCCTAGAAGGGGGAGATACTTGTTTCCCAACAGGTTGTGCGGGTGGAACTGCGGAAAGATCTTCTTCTCTTCCCCTGTGTTGAAGGGGGGCTGAACCACACGTCCTGCAGGGCGGGGAGGAGGAGAAAGGCCGCTGGAGGGATTGAGGGAGTGCTTAGAGGGAGGGGGCGGGGAGACACAGGGAGGCTGAGCAGAGGACAGGGCCTCGCCGCCGAGCTCTGGGCAAAAACCAGACCAAGGTCCACGAAGGGGACCCAACTGCCTTCCTTCCCTGCACTTCGTCTTCCCCAGCCTTCATCCTCGGCCCTCCCGCAACCCTCCTCACCCTCTTTGTCGAAGCCCCTCTTGCCCATCTTTGAGGTTAGCATTTCCTTTTTGCGCTTCTTTGGGGATAGCATCTTTGCGTACCGCTTTGTGTACCGCGTTGCCAAGGGAATGGACGCTACCTGCCCGGCCTCTGCGGCGAGCTCGCCTGCGCCTGCGCAGCAGGTGGGAGGGCCGCCCTGGAAGCCGGCCACCCACAGGGGGGGACCCGCACCTCCTCCCGGACCCCGGACCCCGAGCCCAGGGGAATGTGGGCCCTGCAGCCGGGCTGGCAGCAGATGGCGTTGCGGGGCCCGTGACTCCTGGGCTGCGGGGGTAAAGGATGGGCCCAAGGGCTTTGGAAAGTGGGCCCCTGGGGCTGTGCTGGGGATGGAGGGGACACGGGGCCCAGAACCGGGGCCGCTGGGATCAGGGACTAGTAGCAGCCGCTGCAGCGATGGCTCATGGAGGTGCGCGCCCAGGGCGACCCGAGCAGGGGAATTGGGGACCATCTGAGACCCCTTTTCCCTGTTCCTCAAGCCCTTTCCCATCAGGGCTGTCTCCTGGTCGCCCTCAAGGGAGCACAAGGCTGTCACAGGGCTGGAAGCCTTAAAACCACGGACGTTTCCGCAGTGCTGACCTGGCGGGCAGTCATGTAAATGTCTAAGTGCCCATCTCCTCTTTTCTACACGGAGAGTGAGAATTCTTCTTCACAGGGCTGTGGAGAGGATTGGGATCCCAGAACCAGAGCAATCCGGTGTCTGGGAGGCGGCAAGGTAAGAGGTGACTATTGCTGAAGACCGCCTCCAGCCGGCTCAGCAGCACTCCCTCCCACCCTCACCCACGGAGGGCTCAGGTGGGTGTTGGCTTCTTTACTTTGTCCCGGATGTGATCACTAACCAGCTTTCACCCGGGTTTAGGATGGCTTTAGGAACTGGCAGCTGTAGGAACTCGTGCCCCATGCGCACCTTAGCCCCTACCGAGACCCTGGAGTCCACACTTACCCTGAGCTAGCATTGTATGCGGGGGATGATTTTACAAATCTAATGTAGGATTTCCAAAAAGGTGATACTGAGCCCTGGAGGACACTGGGGGCACTCGTGGAGCATTTGACTTGTTGAAATTATTGGCGGGATGCCCCTTCTCAATGGACCAGGGAGGCTGGACACCTGGCTGTGGCCGGTCTCATGTTCTCCCTCACATTCAGTGGCCTGCGGAACACTATGCAAATAATTGGCTGTACTTGACATAGAACATCAAAACTGTTTTTTAAGTAAGAAATAATGCAGAAAGCCCAGGAAGATAGGAGACGGTCATCATGAGAAACAAAGATGCCGTCTCAAAGTTATTGTATAATTTCCTCCAAGCATTCTGTCTACTCAAATTGCAGTAATACTGATGGATAAAGAAATCCTGGCATCGCTCGATCACTTTTATTAATATTCATAGCAACATTAATATTGTAGGTACCCACAATGCAATTGAGATTCGTGTTTATTTTTATTTTATTTTAGTGACATGAAACATGTCTTACAAAGGACTCTGAACATATGACAAAGGACTTGGAACATATGGAAGCACACCAGTAATTGGTGATTAGTGTGCTTCCAACTAATCCTTTGATAGAAAAAAAAAAAAAAAAAAAAAAGCTAGACTAAATAAAATACTAGTATTTGAAGAGATCAGAGATATTCCAAGCAAGAAGAAACATGCAGATCCAAGCTCCCAGACAGAGGGGAAGCCTGCAGTACTGAGCCCAGCAGTTGGCACTGCTCTTCCCTTTGGGTATTTGCTAAGCAAAAAGCTGGCTGCAAAGCAGAAGGCTCCAGGGGAACTTTGAACAGCCTCTGAAAGCTGGAGGGCAAGAATTAGGCTGACCACGAGGAGGGAGAACTGGAAAACACCTTGGGCTTTTAGTTGGGACTTAAAAGAGATAAACCCTAGGAATAAAGGTGTCCATTTATAATTCTGCTCTTTTATTTAAAAAAAAAATATTTTTTATTGATTTCAGAGAGGAAGTAAGAGACAGAGACAGAGAGAATGATGAGAGAGAATCATGGTTCTGCTGCCTCTGCATGCCCTCCACTGGGGACTGAGCCCACAACCAGGGCATGTACTCTGACCGGAAATCGAACCGTGACCTCCTGCTTCACAGGTCAATGCTCACCCACTGAGACACAATTCTGCTCTTTTATTTTCCTACACTGCTTGTATGAAATGGCATCTAACCTCTCTTAATTCTGTAGTTTATTCATTAGTCATTATATGGTGCAGAGTCCGACTACTTCATTGTCTTCTAAGGTAGTCAAATCTGCCAAAACCGGTTTGGCTCAATGGATAGAGCGTCAGCTTGGGGACTGAAAGGTCCCGGGTTCGATTCCAGTCAAGGGCATGTACCTTGGTTGCGGGCATATCCCCAGTAGGGGGTGTGCAAGAGGCAGCTGATCGATGACTCTCTCTCTCTCATCGATGTTTCTAACTCTCTATCTCTCTCCCTTTCTCTCTGTACAAAATCAATAAAATATATTTTAAAAAAAATAAAATAAAATAAAAAATAAATAAATAAAGTAGTCAAATCTGTCTGGCTGATGTGGCTCAGTGGTTGAGTGTCAGACCATGAGCCAGGAGGTCACAGTTTGGTTCCTGGTCAGGGCAGGTGCCTGGGTTGGGTTGTGGGCTCCATCCCCAGGAGGGAGTGTGTGCTGGAGGCAGCCAGTCAATGACTCTCTCTCATCATGGATGTTTGCATCCTATCCCTTTCTCCCTCACCCTTCCCCTCTCTCTAAAGTCAATAAGAAACATAAAAAATGACTATATCTGAGCATTTATGTTATTTTATTAGGAATTATATTTTTTCCTTCTTTACATGAAAATTAATGGCACTATGTTGTTTTTGAAATTATATATGGTAGGTAATGTTACCCATGAATTTGATTTTAGGATAAAATAGTTACAAAATAATGTTTCAGAATCTTACAAAATAATTGGTAACTCAAAGCAGGACTTGGGTCTGAATAGGATTGAGAACCCATGACCCAGATTCTGCCAGAGGATGAATGTACCTAGTTGGGAAGAGAGGAAAATAAACTTTCTCAATCCCACCTTCCAGTCTTTTTTTTACGTACCAGCCTCTCTCTGCCAGTAGGAGAATGGACACAGGCTTTGAAGCCACTTGGAACTGGTTCCCAACAGGTCCTACCTAGTCTGTCGTTTACTAGCAACGTGACTTGTGGAAGTTACCCAGTCTCCGAAGCCTTGGTTCATCTATACAATGGCTCCAACCATTCATGCCTCTTATGGCTGCCGTGGGACGTTAGGAGACACCATGGGACAAACCTTGCACAGCCAAGGACTGACCTGTCATTGGAATTTAACAAATGTCCAATGCACTTCCAACCCATCACCTCCATGCTCAGGGCTACAGCTAACTCCAAGGGTACCTTCCTATAAATTAAAAAAAAAAAAAAAAAGTGCCCTTGCAGCTGGGTGGATGCCTCCCCCTGTCAAAGCTCATGACTTGGTGAGGGGAGCACCTCCCCACCCCCCACCCAGATCAGGGTCCTTATGGAATTCCGTTGCATACCCCACCCCTTTCCAGTTAAGACTCCAACATCGAAAAAATGGGTTTTCATAACGTACGGGCAGCCGTGAAGGGTTCTTCGAAGTTCCAAAGGAATGGATGGGAGATCAGTTTTTTCCCCTTTTTTTTCTTAGGTAGTCTGGGCAGCGAGGCCTTGGAAGACTTCGAAGAAGAATCTTTCTCAGAGATATTTTCCATAATCCCCTTTTTCCTCGCCGCAAGCTCCATGAGCCACTGCTCTCCTAAGTGGACCTCAGCCAAGAAAATGAAGGCTCCCACCTAAACTGGCTGCTAGGCAATAGCCCCGCCTTCGAGGTCCCTTCCGGGTCTTTGTGACATGACTCTCTTGGAACCAACACATTGTGGTGTAAAGGGCGCCAGGATGGCCTAACATGGGAAAGCAGCTCTGCTAATTATTCACTACACCATCTTGGGCAAGTTTTCCACCCAATAGCTCAGTGTCCTCGCCCGTAACTCTATGGATATTGTTAGCTGGGAGCCTGTTATTAATAGTTCCTCTCTCCCTTTCTTCCTTCTTTGACTTATTCATTTAACAAGTACTTATTAAATATGTCAGACACTGCTAAGGCAGTGGGAAAAGAGCACTGAGCAGAAACCCATGTCCTCATAGAGGTTAATTTGTCTCCAGGCCTTGTGATTCTTTGGCTAGAAATGTAATTACATTTATGACAATACCCAATTTGACTGACTCTTGCCTTCACCTGCTCATTGAGGACCCCAGTCTCCCATTTTTTTTTTTTTAACAGCGAGGTAGAGAAAGGGAGAGAGATACGTTGATCAGCTGCCTTTTGCACACCTCCTACTGGGGATGTGCCCGCAATCAAGGTACATGCCCTTGATCGGAATCGAACCCGGGACTTTTCATTCCACAGACCGACGCTCTATCCTCTGAGCTAAACCGGTTTTGGTCCTGGTCTCCCATTTTTATGTCTTTGACCTCCAAGGCATGTCACGTGAGGGCTCAGAAGTCGATACGTTGGTTGCAATCATAGGGAGCGTGATTTTCCTATGTTCTGTGACAATATTCCAGCGTCCCTTTACCAATGTTGAATTGTCATCACCCCTCCATCCCTGCTATGCCCTTCTCATGGCTCCCCAGCTCTCTTACACTAAAATGCAAACTTGACCATCATCTTTAATACCTAGAACATAAGCTGGCACATAATAAATCATCAGTAAGGCCCTAGCCAGTTTGGCTCGGTGGACAGAGAGTTGGCCTGCGGACACAAAGGGTCCCAGATTCCATTCTGGTCAAGGGCATGTACCTTGGTTGCAGGCTTCTCCCAGGCCTGGACCCCGGTCGGAGTGCTTGCAGGAGGCAACCAATTGATGTGTTTCTTTCACATTGAGTAAATATGCGAGAAACAGTTAAAGCAGAGTGTGACATATAGGAAGCATGCCAGGGAAAAACCGGAGTCGTTCTATTCTTTTTTTTTATTAGTCAAAGTTCTTTTAGTTGCAAGAAAAGGAAAGAAAATACAGCGAAGAATTTGTTACGTAGTTATAGGAGAGTTTCACCGAGTCCACAGGCAGAAACGCATCTGGGCCTCAGGAAGGAGCTAGAATCCAGTTGGAAAGCCATTGCTACACATGTTCTTTCTCCATGGTGTTGTGGCTTTCCTCTGTAGTTCCCCGTTAGTGTTCCTGCTCTGTGTCCAGGGCAACTTTCCATTCTCAGTCTCTTACCACAGCTCCAGAGCTGACACATTACAGGCACAGACACTCTCAGGGACCGACAGCCAGTCCTTGTTCCCTGTTGCGTATTCCAAGAGGTGATCATCGGATTGGCCCTGTGGCGTCTGATGTCCACCCCAGTCAACCAGCTAAGCCAGGGGAGGACCTGATGCGGTGAAAGCACAGTGGCTGGTGACCACCACGATGGGTTCAAGGAGGGGGGCAACCTCCTGAGAAAGGGACACTGCTGGCCCCTGGGCTGGGCAGACACCCCATAAGGAGCCCACTGCATAGGTCTTCCCAAAGTTGCCAATCTAAACAGCTTGCAGACTAGCTCGGGGAGCTAGGAGACATGGAGAGAATGCCCTGGTTTTCTGCTCTCTGAGTGAGCTGAGCGGGCCTGTGCCCTCTAATCTCACGGAATCACTTTGGCTCCTTCCTGAGGATAGTCACCAGGCGACAGACCGATCTTCGTCATGTTCATATCCCATCCCAGCACCAAACCTTCAAACCTTTCCATCTGACAGCCGCCAGCCTTCATGCCGATCAATGCAGGCAGACAGAGCACTGTGTGGTCATCTCTGCCACGTCCTCACGCAGCACTCCTCAGCCTGCATTTTCACATCTAGTGAGGTTTCCACCCAAATCACTTATACCAAGGCAACTTGTGTTTTGACTGAAGGATTTTATTGCAGAACTCCAGTTAGAAGCAAGATAAAGAGAGAAGACTGTTCAGAACCCCAGGGGATGGAGAACAGGTCAGGTTCATGGCCAGTTGCAGCAAGAACAGCTGGGGTCAAAGACAAGCCCGGCCTGGCAGTTCTGCTGGTACGTGATCCCATTTATGCAGTGCCAGAAGGCATTTCTGTTGTCTGCCACAGGGTAGAGGCCATCGGCCTTGTCAGCACAGAAGCCAGAGCCCCCACTTCCGCTCCCACTTCCACTTCCACTTCCGCCCCCGCTCCCGCTCCCACTGGTGGGAGGAAGAGTTGTTGGTGTAACGGGCGGAGAGGGGGCAGTGCAACCTGGAATGACACAAGAGCAGACTAGTGACTGGTACGGTGAGGTCTGGAGGTGGGATACAGTTAGCTCTGGATCCCTACAACTGAAAGGATCACAGGATCGGCCCGCACTCGGAAGGGAAAGCTATCATTTTAAGCCAGCCTGGTCTCTAATTTTATTAAGTTCTCTCTTTCCTGATAATGTCAAAACCATTAAAACAAATTTACTGAGCACCCAAATGTGAAAAATACTTTTCTACATGATCTGAGTATAAGTCCTGAGCAAATAAGCTCTAAGAGAAAATCCAGGGAAAGTTCAGGGAGTTGATAATTTTCCTGAATTAAAGATTAGAAATAGGTGAGCACTATTAAGGCTTTCTTGTTAAATCTCCCCAGAGGGGTTGAAAGAGACTTTTAATAAAGAGATCATAGAGAAATAAATGCTTAGATGATAAGGTCAGCCTAATTTCTTGAGGCTTTGCTATATCTTTAGGACTCAGAAGACCTGGAAAACCCGCCCGTGTGGGCTTGGTTTCCCATAAGAGCATGACATTTCTGACATGGAAGTTCAAAGATAGGGAAGGATTTTAGCATCTATCTCTCAAGAGCAGGGAGGTGAAATGGGAAAATGCCCCCTGGTCAATGGGGATGGGCAGATGCGAGAACTATCTTTTGAGTTGGAGAAGGAGCCCTTATAGATCCCTGCACATCCTCCTGCTGTCACTCACTTCCGCTCTGCAGGTCCAGGGCATCCTTCAGGGCGGTGGTCAGGGGGAATTTGCCCTGGTTGCAGAAAGTGCCCGTGAAGTCATCCAGATCGATGGCCCAGACCATGGCGCCTCCAAAGTTGTTCTTCTTCAGCCAGTCAGCCTGTGGTAATGACAGAGACACCCAATGAAGTGCAGACACCAGGGCCAACCTGGGGCTCCAGGGCTACAGAGGGGAGTAAGCAGGCCACAGCGGTCCACGGCACCCAGTCCACCTTGATTTTGAAGCTCTTGGTGTCGTCGTAGCCAAGCCACTCGTTGCCCTTGTAAGCGTAGGGGACTTCCTGAGCAGCCTCCCACACTTCCGTGGCGCCATTCTTCAGGAAGGGGCAGATCTAAGAGATAAGGAAGAGGCCAAAAGGTGGGCAAAGGGTCCATGTTGCAGGGATAGAGGGCACGGGGGAGGGAAGTAGAGAAGAGATACATGAAAGATACTTGAAAAGGAAGGCCTAGAGCCGAAACGGTTTGGCTCCATGGATAGAGCGTCGGCTTGGGGACTGAAGGGTCCCGGGTTCGATTCCGGTCAAGGGCATGTACCTTGGTTGCGGGCATATCCCCAGTAGGGGGTGTGCAAGAGGCGGCTGATCGATGACTCTCTCTCATCGATGTTTCTAACTCTCTGTCTCTCTCCCTTCCTCTCTGTACAAAATCAATAAAATATATTAAAAGAAAAAAAAATAAGAAAAGGAAGGCCTAGAGCTCTATCAGAAAATTTCTCACTTCATTTAGGATTCTAAATCTTTGTCCCATTCAGGTAACTTATTTTCAATGTGGGAGAAGCTCTTAAATCAAAGAATGCCGTGGCCGGCAGTGAGCAGTGCCCGTTCACTGATGTAATCTCATTGATGGATCTCTTTGTCCTACTCTCTCTCTGTATTTGGAATCCAGTCAACGTAAGTGCTCATCCTGCCTTCCCTATAAATAGCCAGGTGCATCCACTTTTAGCCCCAACTACTTCAGTGAGCCAAGATGTGTTGGATTGTTCATATTGTTAACCTGTGGCTTTTCTCTGTCTCTCTCAGATTGCCGGGAGCATACCTCGTAGTAGGCCCAGAACCCAGACTGCCTGGTGTAGGGCCCAGCAGGGCCAGGGCCAGTGATAGGAGCCCCGATTCCATGGTCGGAGGGGTTGCTCAGGATGTAGGTGTGACCGTAGGTTGGGAATCCAACGATGAGCTTCTCAGCTGGGGCCCCGTTGTCCTTCCAATAGTTCATGATGTAATCCTGCAATGGCAACAGGTTCCCAGGAGGCCCCACCGAGCTGATGGCCTGGGGCTTAGTTATGTTAGACACCTGTTCTGGCGGGCAAATTGTTTGATCTTAATGACTGGGAATTTGTTAGTACTTTTAATACACATTTTGGTGGAATAATAGTTAAAGAGATTTGATTAGCCACTTACGCGGACAGTTATAACAAGTAAGATTTTTGTAGAATCTATGTTTTCCCCCAAATCCCCATGTGATGTGGGACACCATCTCTGGTCTGTGTATAAGTTGGTATAGGGACTCACCACATTGAGGTAGGCATTGCTGCCAGTGTCGGTTGGGTATTTGTAGAGGGGGCTGTTCTCTCCAGTGTAGCCCTCCCAGGAGCCATGGAGGTCATAGGACATAACATGGATGAAGTCCAGGTACCTGCAGGGCAGGTAAAGCAGGTAAAATCATCTCTGATGGTCATCTCCCATGCCTCTGCAGGAAAAGGTACCCCTTCCTAAGCCCCCTCAACAAGGTCCCTGGACAGCAAGACAGACTAAGGGTGAGCACATCTTACACAAGCGACACAGAGGAGCTGGGGACAGTGGTCACTCACTGGGACAGCTGCGGGATCTCATAGCCAGCCTGGATGTTGGAGATGCCACCAGCGACTGCAGCAGTGACCATCAGCCTGGGCTTGTTGACCTGCTTGGCCTCCTGCTCAAAAGCTTCACGCATTTCCTGTGCAAGAGGAGGAGAACGTCTATGAACGTGAACTCTAAGTTGACCTTCATGACTATTCTTCGAAGTAAATTTAACCAATCGTCCATCTTTCATTCTTCAGCACTCTCACAGCAACAGAGGGCATCCAGGTCCTTCCTCTCCCACTGAGGTTGCAGGCAGCTGGGTTTTCTGCACGGCCTCACTGACCTTGTACATGAAATGGGTTGTGTGCCCTCCAGAAACTAATACCAAATGATACTGAATGCACACTGGCATTTAAAAATGAGTTTTTAAAAATGACATGGAGCACAGCTCACCTGGACCAGGACAGTGAAGAGGTGCTTGTCCTGGGGCGGGCTCCCCCGAGAGCCAGGGTACTCCCAGTCAAAGTCCAGCCCGTCGAAGTCGTACTGGCGCAGGAATTTGATGACCGAGGCGATGAAGGTCTGGCGGTTCTCAGGAGAGGACACCATGGCAGTGAAACTGCGGGCGACCCCAAGAGGGCAGGTGAGGGTTTGCCTCCACAGTCCCAACACCTTGTTGTAACATCAAACTCCTCTATTTTTGCCTCCAAGCTCTTCACCAGGATCCGCAGCCCAAACAAAAGAACATTCCTGGTTTTCTCCTGTCCTTTACTTGTAATCACAGCCATGGCCCCTCAATGTTGCCTGTTTTATTGATCCAAACTCTGGTCTTCCTGCCAAGTTGTGCTAGTTGCTTTGAACACCGGAGCCCCTCTGCTCACCTCACAGCTCTCTGTGATCTCTCCAAACAGTCCCCCAAGCACATTCACCCTCAGCCAAATCTCATTCATTTGCATGCCTTTCCCTCCCTTCCCGCGGAAGGTAAATAGAGAAAATTAATCCAACGTTTTTCTCAGGGGCTGTGCTCTTGAAAGTCTCTAAGAAGAGATTGTTTGCAATCCCATTCACTAAACCTTGATGAATAGGATTCCAGAATATCCATCCACATCTAAATGTCTAAAAGCAATCTCATCCTACGTATTATTGAGGCTCTGGTGTAGTAACTTATTTAAGCAGCCTATTTGTTTGTTGTGCATCCTTAATACCATGCCTTAGACTGTGAGGTCTGAAGGGACACGGGGCACAGAGGACCACCTTGTTTTCAGTAGCAAATAAGCACCAGCCCTCCCACAGGGACTCACGGGGCAGTTCCGAAGTTCCAGCCGCCGATGGCCAGGAGCGTTTTCAGCTGGCTGTTCCTGGAAAGCGAAGGGTAGAAAAGAGGGACTTCAAAACCCCTGAGCCGCTTTACTGAGAATTCCATCGCTTTGGTATTGGGCCCGGTCTTATACCTTGACATGTTTATTACAGAACAATTTTCCTCCACTACCGAACACTTTCTTTATAACAATTCTTTGTGTTGTGATTATCATAAATTTACTCAGGGCTCTTGGGGGAAAACTAAATTATGGAAATGGGTTGTTTGTTTTAAAAGAAGTATGTATTGGTGACATTTCTTGAAATATATATCTACATGTAGCTATCTATATCTATCTGTCTATCTGTCTATCATCCGTCCATCCATCTGTCAGCATAATATGATCAGATTCAATTCCATCAAATGAAATGGTAAATGTGGCTTGAGCATAGTTACTTTCTCAGCCTCTCAGAACAGTATTTCTCAAACATCAATTTACGGAAGACTAAAGTGCAAGGGTCAGAGTGGGAGGGCACCATGAAATGCCAGGTTTATGGCCCCCTTCCCAGAGATTCTGAAGCAGCTGAACCAGGGTAAGCATTGGCATTTTTATCAAGTGCCCCAGGTGATTTCCATACAAGTAGTCAAATGGGCCACATTTCCAGAAACACCACTCCAAAGGGGTCATCGCCTCTTAGGTTATCAGAACTTTCCTGGAGCAGCTGCACCCAGGACAGTGCTACTCCCAAGGGAATGCTACTTCTCTCACATATAACTAAACCGAACAAGTCAGAAATGAAAAAATAGTAGGGTTTTCATTTGCTTGATTTGTGGTGTTTTTTTTTTGTTTGTTTGTTTGTTTTTACACAAACTAGAATGCCATTCAAATTCAGCAACGCTTTCGTTTTAGATTTAACGACATCTAATCGTTTATATCCTCTGCCTCCTACTCTGAAAGTAGCTAAGATGGTTTGCAGTTTCCTGGGTCGTAAAAAAGCTTGACAAAGAAAGGAAGAAACACAACTAAGATATTTCCAATAGCTGTTAGATAACACTGTGCTGTGTTCTCTATATTCTTGCTACTTAAAGGGCGGATCCTGGGCCAGAAGCATCAGGGAGCTTATTGGAAATGCAGGTTCTTGGTCCCCACTCTGGACTTGTCCAATCGGGGCTGCATTTTAGAAAGACACCAGCTGATTCACTTGCACATCATGTTTGGGAAGCACTGCACTGAGACATACTCAACCAGATATTTCCCCCTTCTCTTACTTGCTCTTCAGGCCGTTGAAAGCCTGGTAGAGGGTCACATCATTCCATTCAATGGTGGTGATCTCGTTGTTGCGCATGCCCGCGAAGGCGTAGATCAGGTGAGTACAGAGGCAGGGGTCGAGGTCCTCGGGCGTGAAGCGCCCCAGGCCTGGCCGGTACTGAGCCCAGTTGGTGAAGTAGCATATCAGCTGGTAGGCAGAGCCTGTGGGCAGTAAGGAGGAAGGACAATGGCCTTGGTTTGGACGCTGCTGAAACGTGCCATGAGTCTTGGCCCTCCGGTCTCCCTCTGCCTCAGATGCTGCATCTCCGTGTGTGAGCACACTCACAGATGAGTTCAAGGATTCTGACTTGGGAACTAGTGGGCGACAGGGGTCGGGGGTGGGGAGGTTGGCTATTTTTAACTTTGATGAATTTATTTTGAGATCTTGTATAAATAGACCTGGGAACCATGAAGAAAGGAGTCCTATGAAGCCCAGTGGACACCCGTTTCTAACTGGTCGGTGGCCGTGCTGAAGAAGACAACATGGCAGCCGATCCTAAACCCTAGATTTTCCCAACGTCTCTGAAGTAGATCGTAGCTCTCTTTCCTAGTATGGCTTATCTCTTGATATACTTTTGAAAAAAAGGATTGGAATATTTAAAAAGCACATATATTAGCAGGTCATTGCAATAGGAAGAATTGATAAGAATTTGAGGGTTTTGGAAGGAAAAGATAAAATCCAGGACTTACCTAGCTGAGCATTCAGCAGAAGGGCCAGACCTAGAGAGAGTGGGAAAAAATGAAAACAAAAGCAGGTGCTCTGGAATGGTCGTCTATCCTGTAGAATCTAATTCTGAGGACTTGGATGCTGTCCTATTTGTCAGAGGTTGTTACAGCTCAAGCAGCCCTTAGGGGTTATGCCAAAGAGTATATTGAGTGACTACACATACATATACACTTCACCCCCTTGAACTGGGTTGTGTACAACCTTCCACAGACAAGGCATTCTCCAAATCAATGAATTCAGTATCTCCTGGGGCCTGGGAATTTTTTTTTTTTTTAACCAACTTTTAGTCTGTGAGGCCAGACTCCAGATCCCTCTCCCTGGCTTCTATCAAAGTGCTTGCAATATGATTTTTTAAATAAATTGAGCCAGAGGTTTTATTTGGAAAAGGTTCTGAAACTATGAATATAGACTGCCTTTCAGCTGCCAGATCCAGAGAGGAAAAGCTGTCAGCTGAGGCAGAACAAGGCTCTATCCCTGATTAGGAACCCACCTGTGAGGAGAAGAAGCTTTGCCATGGCTGCTGTCGGTACTGGTCTAGCAGGGCCCGGATTGGCTTTTTATGCTGTGCGAGTTGCTGGTTATCAAACGGAGAACATTGAACCCAGGTGTGCACATAGCCTATCAGGAACCCACAGATCTCCTTTCCTGCAAACAGGAAACAGGACCTCCAACCTACGTTCTCCCACCACCACGCTCCCTGCCCCTTGAGGACAGAACAAGCCATGGCTCCCAATAGGGTGGCGGAGACCATCACCACGGAAAGCACCAGCTTAATAGCCTTGTTGGCAGTGCCCAGGGTTGATAAGCATCTGTTTCAACACGGGGCTAGGTTTTTAAGTTGTGGACATTTCGTGCCTAGAGCACCAAAGCTTGCCTTTATTGGAAAGTAAATAATAAAAGCCTTTGGAAGTGATTAGCTGTTCTTAAACTTGTTCATGGAATTACTTGTATGTGATTTGTACAATCGGTGCCTAAGGAACGTCTCCACTTTAGGTGCTGCCTTTTAAACATTCTACCCACTCTGGAATGACCTTAAGTCATTTTTTTTAATCCTCACCTGAGGATATTTTTCTATTGATTCTTTTTTATCCTTTTAAAATATATATATATCTTATTGGTTTTTTATAGAGTAAGGGAGGGGGGTTAGATAGCCATCGACCAGCTGCCTCCTGCACACCCCCCACTGGGGATGCACCCATAACCAAGGCACATGCCCCTGACCGGAATCAAACCCGGGACCCTTGAGTCCACAGGCCAAGGCTCTATCCACTGAGCCGGTTTGGCCAGGGCTCTATTGATTCTTAGAGTGGGAAAGACAGAGAGAAACATCGATGTGAGAGAAACACATTGATTGGTTGCCTCCTGCACAAACCCCGACCAGGGCCCAGGACCAGGGAGGAGCCTGCAACCGAGGAACATGCTCTTGACTGGAATCGAACCCAGGACACTTTGGTCTGCAGGCCAATGCTCTTAACAACTGAGCCAAACTAGCGAGGGCAACCTTAAGTCATTCTTATACAATAATTTCCTCTAAGAACGTATGAATCGATAAATATCCTTTCCAAAGGTCACGGACAGCTCTCTAGGGTTCCACAGTTCCAAATTACCTCCAGAAGAGGTGGAAACATATTTCATGTTGCTGATAGAGACAATGGCGATAATATTGAAAAGAATCTCTTTTGATAGGAATATTTGCAACTTGACTATTTGTAGAATTTTTTGTTTGAAATTTATTTCAACCCACCTTTCCAAAAATTATCCATTGTTTTAAAATAAATTTCTGCTTCAGCAAAATGACCTATTCATGATTCCCTAAATATATCATATGCATTTGTTCTGTCTCTCTCTCCTTTGCCTGTACTGTAATGTCTTCCCCTCTCCTCACTGTCTATCCTGATATTTCAATTCTTCAACACCCAGCTCAGATCCTCTCGTTGAAGCTCAATGGTCTCTCCTTCCTCTGAAATACTTGATAGACTCTAATACATGTTGTCTGTACCGCTTACTGTCCTGTGACAATCCTGGAATCCAGATGGTGGGCATCCCCATCATAGGATGTCAGCACCTTAGCAGACTTATTGTGAATGCAGACTCGTTTGATGCAGGAAAGGACAGGGCACATGGATTTTTCATTTCTGTCAGGACTGGTCACAAAATGAAATTCAAAAGAATGGTGAGTGACCAAAACACAATGAATGTTTATCAGGGGGCTCTCCCCATTATTTAATTTACCTTTTCTTATTATCAGCCCAATTTTGTAGATGAGAATATGGACCAAATCTTAAGCACCAGACCCAGGACTCAGTGCCAAGATTAGCTGCCTCTTGAATGAAAATCTAACATTTACACTGCGCTACCTCCTTATATCAATTAAGTAGGCTGGTTGGTGGTCTAGGTAGAACGGAATAGGCATTTTCCTGAGACACCCAGGAGAATAATGTTGGGACTAAGAGCCAGAATTGTGGCCAATCAGGGTTAAGTCAAGGACTTGCAAGAGTCAGCCGCAAGGCAATCATCCCAGGTTTATCCTATTTGACCATCAGGTCCAGCTGCTGTGTAAACTTAGTGAAGTATTTTCTGTTGAATTACCCCTAGCGCCATAGGAGTGACCTGCAGATAAAGCATCCCTTCTCAATAGCTCCTTAAAAACTCCAGGTGAGTCTCCATCCAGCTTGCCCGCCATCTGAGCACTGGTGTGTTGGAAAGAATCCCCATCCTTGCGGTCATACAATAGTTGGAGCACTTTATTTGCACCAGCACCATGATAAGAATGGCTTCTCAGTGCCCACGTGGCAGAGTTCAGGGCCCGGAGCAGGTACAATAATGGACACAGCTGCAACTGGGTAGTTCATCAACAGCCAGGTAGAGATGGCAGTGACCCAGCTTACTCTCTACTCATTCCTTAGCCCAGGGAGCAATCTGATTTCACAGTCACCAAGAGAGCAGGGCTGGGGGGATAGAAAGGAAAAAGGATACCTGGATTGGGTCCTCAACCCACAGTTGTTCGTCACCAGAAAACTTCCTGTTTTATTTTTCTTATCTTAGACTCAAACAAACTTAAATATATAATTTTGTTGAAAAAAATTTTTTCTACTATAATTTACAAAATTATTTCTCTCTGGCCTGGCTGGCCTGGCTCAATAGTTGAGCTTCGACCTATGATCCAGGAAGTCACAATTCAATTCCCAGTCAGGGCACATGCCCCCGTTGCAGGTTCAATCCCCAGTACGGGGCATGCAGGAGGCTGATGATCAATGATCTCATCATTGATGTTTCTATCTCTCTCCCGTCCTCTATGAAATCAATACAAATGTATTTATAAAAAATTATTTCTGTCTGGCTGTCAATTCTTTCACTTATACATATAATGGCTAATGGTTACATAATATTTATAAATACTAAGTAATATAGTTGATGAAATTGATCCTCTAGGGAACTGTGTAGTATTTTTTACTTCTTAATTATATACATGTATTATATTGACAAAAATGAAATTTAAATTTAAAAAGAGATAAAGGCTGAGAATTCAAAAGAAGATATGATTGCTGAAACCGGTTTGGCTCAGCTCAGTGGATGGAGCATCGGCCTGCGGAATGAAGGGTCCGGGTTTGATTCCGGTCAAGGGCATGTACCTTGGTTGCGGGCACATCCCCAATCGGGGGTGTGCAGGAGGAAGCTGATGGATGTTTCTTTCTCATCGATGTTTCTGACTTTCTATCCCTCTCCCTTCCTCTCTGTAAAAAATCAATAAAAAAAAAAAACATGAAAAGAAAAATAAAAAGAAGATATGATTTTGGTGGTAAACATGAACAAAATTTAAAAAGTAGCTTAAATTTTCCAGAGTATAATTTGTTGTTAAATACTAAGATCCCAGGCCATGTAAGAAAAGCTCAGAGCTAACATAACTGTCTGTGTGAAAAGATGAAAGCTTTTTCTGTAAGATCAGAACTAAGTCAAGGATGCACCTTTCCCACTTCTCTTCAACATAGCACTGGAAGTCTTAGCCAGAGGGATGGAGCAACAAAGAGAAATTAAATTTTGCACAGCAAAAGAAGCAATCAACAAAGTGGGAGAAAAATATTTACATGCCATATATCGGATAAGGGATTAATAACTAAAACACATAAAGAACTCATACAACACATTAACAACAACAACACCTTGTTATGACAAAGTCAATGTTGATATTGGTAGTGCTCAAAGCCCAAACCCATTTAAGAACCCATTATTGACAGGGAAACCATATTATCTTGATTTCGCTGTACAAGAAGAAAGGATTGGGCTCGAGCCCAGGCACCATACAAATAAGCTCCATCACGGAATAGCTTACATAATTCAAGATGGTTTTGTACAGTGGACTAGACTCTCTGTTTGGATAGCCCTAATTGGCTATTTCACCCTCATCTATTTGTAGCAAATGGTTTCCACAGTCCTTTCCAGAAACAGATTAGCATGCTCTCAACTCTTTCCCCTGATGCTAGAATATCTAACAGCCCTTAAAAAAAAAAAAAAAAAAAATCCAGGTACTCAAATTTCCTATGTTCAGTTTTCTAGAATTTATTTGCCTGAAGATTAGTCTGCACTCTGAAGATTTTCCTTCCTTGTCTCCCTTTTCACAACTGTTGTTCTCCTCCAAAGAGGAGAAGCAGAATTGGAAATGTGAGTCAAGAAGGAGTGTAGCTGTGGCTCTTTCTCTCCAAGGAGGCAGCCAGTCGCCTAGTGCAGAGATGCAGACCTTTGTGAGATCCTGGTGGACAAGATCATCGCCCTTGAGATTGAACCCAGTGACACCATTGAGAATGTTAAAGCCCAATTTCAAGAGAAGGGAGGGCATCCTGCCCAGCCAGCAGCATCTGATTTTTGTGAGTAAGCAGCCAGAGGATGGCCACACTCAGACTCTACCTTCCAGAAAAAGTTCATCCTGAACCTGGGGCTTTGCCTGCCAAGTGGCATTACTGAGCCTTCCCTCCTCCAGCTCATTCAGAAATGCACCTTCCACAACATGATCTGTCCCAAGTGTTTCCCTTGCCTGCACTTCTGCGCTGTCACATGTTACAAACCACCACCAGCCTCCACCCTAAATGTTACAAACCACCACATGCCCTCCAGCCCTGCAGGGTGGCCTCCTGCATAAGCCCCAAGGGTGTGGAGTTTCAGGAAAGGTTCTTTTTAGTTAGTTGACTGGAGTCATAAAAAAAAGAGGGGAAAAAATGTAGGATTAAACCTAACTACACCAGTAATTACATTAAATGTAAATGGACTAAAAATTCTAGGTTGTCTATATCTCGTCTTGTTTAAAAAATGCTTGAGTGTATGCTGAGAGTGTTGTCATAGAACTTAGCATATGGGAAATCCGTCAGGAAATATTTTTTTAAAATATATTTTATTGATTTCTTACAGAGAGGAAGGGAAAGAGAAGTTAGAAGCATCGATGAGAGAGAATCATCGATCAGCTGCCTCTTGCATACCCCCCACTGGGGATGTGCTCGCAACCAAGGTACATGCCCTTGACAGT